GCAACAAGGATTTACTGTATAACACAGGGAACAATATTCAGTATCCTATAATAACCTATAATGGAAAATAGTCTGAAAAAAAAGGTAAATGAATCACTTTGCTGTACACCTGAAGCTAACACAGTATTGTAAATCAACTATACTTCAATAAAAAATAAATTAAATAAAATATAACTATAGAATAGTTTTAGATAAAAGAAAAATTGGGACAATAGTACAGAGAGTTCCCATATACCCCATATGAAGTTTTTCCTATTATTAACATCTTAGAATATTATGGTACATTTGTCACAATTAATTGACCAATATTGATATTTTATTATTAACTAAATACATACTTTATCCATATTTCCTTAATTTTTACCTAATGTCCTTTTTCTCTTCCAGGATCCCATCCAGGGTACCATATTATATTGTCATCACGTGTCTTAGCTTAGACAGTTGTTTATAATTTTTTGGTAACAGCTTTACTAAGATATAATTCACTTACGATGTACTTCACCCATTTGAAGTATACAATTCAATATTTTTTCACTGTATCCAAAGTGTTGTGCAACCATCAGCACAATTAATTTAAAAAATTTAAATCAGAGAGGAAAATAGGAAAAAATGAACAAAAAAATAAATTTAAAATGTCATTGATATTTAACTATGTAGTTTACTGGTCTTATTTCTTCATGAAATTCAAGTTACTTGTTCTTTCATTTCAGCCTGAAGGATTTCCTAAAATTCCCCTTTATTTTTTGAAGGATAATTTTGCTGGATATAGAATTCTTGGTTGACAGGTTTGGTGTTTTTTTTTCTTTTAGCACTTTCAATAGTCATACCATTGCCTTTTGGCTTCAGCCAGAAGATAAGAAATCAGCTATTAGCCTTATTGAGGATCCCTTGTTCATGTTCATGAAGAGTCACTTCTCTCTTGATTTTTAAATATTCTCTCTTTGTCTTTAGCTTTTGACCGATTATGATATCTAGATATGGATCTCTTCGAGTTTAACTTACTTGAAGTTCACTGAGCTTTGTGAATGTGTAGGTTCATTTCTTTTATCAAATTTTGGAAGTTTCCACCCATTATTTCTTCAAATATTCTTTCTGCCCTTTTCTCTCACTCTAGCTTCCCATTAGGCTTGTGGGATTCGCAGTATGCTTGCTGATGTCACAAAGACCCTTAAAGATCTTTGAGAATCTGTTCATTTTTCTTCATTCTTTTTTCTTCTTATTCCTCTGACTGAAAAATTTCAATTGATCTGAATTATTTCAGTTAATCTGAATTGAATGTTCAAGTACACTGATTCTTCTTCTGCCTGCTTACCTCTGCATTATATCTTAAATTGAGCCCATATAGTAAATTATTCATTTCAGTTATACTTTTAACTCCAGCTTTCCTGTTTGATTCCTTTTTATAAATTCTATCTTTTTATTTTTGTACGCTGTATTTGGTGACACATTGTTTGCCTGATCCCTTTTGTTCTTTAGACATAGTTTCCTTTACCTCTGTGGAATACTTAAATTGCTGATTTAAAAGTTTAGTCTAATAAGTTCAATGTTTAGGCTTCCTAAGGGACAATTTTCACTGGATTCCTGTGTATGGATTTTTTTTTTTTGCATGTCCCATATCTTTTTTGTTGTTGAAAACTAGACATTTCAAATAATATATATGACAACTCTGAAAATCAGATTCTCTACACTACCCAGCTTTTGCTATTGCTGTGTTTTGTAGTTTTTCTTGTTAGTTTGGTGACTTTTCTGAAATAGGTCTCTAAAATCTATGTATTTGTCATATGTGGACACTGAAGTCTCTCAGTGATCAGCTAATTATTGGACAGAAATTGCCTTAAATGCCTGTAACTAATAAGTCTATTGGTATTTGCCAAGGGGCTCTGTGTGCATGTTTGGGAATATCTTCAACACTCAGTCAGGTGATTTCCAGCTCTGCCTCTGTCTTAACTTGATGCTTACACAAAGCCTCAAAGCCAGTCAGAGGTGAGAACTTGGGATTTTCCTCAAGTCTCAGATATTTCTTGAACATGTGTGTATCTTTATGCATGTGCATGACCTTTCAGCCCCTATAGACACCTTATTCCTTAGCTTTTTGTTTCAAGCTTTTTGGTTAGTCTATTGTTTGCCCCAACTGTTATTCACTGCCTCAGGCAACCAAGATTTTAAAACATTTGACAAATGCCTTCCAAGGACAACCTTTTAGCACTGGACTAATTTGAGTGAAGTCAAATAAAACCTTTTGAGTGAGGTCTTCTAGGGAACCATCAGATCGGTCATATAATGGCCCCCTTTTGGTGATGAGGCTTTGAAAGAGAGCTCCAGCCTCATTTTGCTCCCTCTTGTACAGTATTAGGAATGCAGGCTATTATTTTTCAAGGCCTCCACAGTGCTGAGGAGTGGGGAACGTTAGGTTACAATGCCACAAATCTTGCTGCTCTCGCTGAGATTTAGTTTTTTGCTGTTTTATTTCTGACCAGTTTTGCCAGTTTTTTCATTGCTTTTATGGAGGGGGGACCTTGGCATGTCCTTATTCTGCCATTTTTGCTGACATCTTAACCTTGACAGTTTTGATTACTAGTCAAATATTTGTGGGGTGTCACTCAAGTGGGATTTAGCCTGACTTCTTTTCTCATGAGTAGACTGTAGTGTTTTCTTTTGAAGAAATACCACAGAGGTAAAATGCCATTCTTGTTACATCATATCGAGGGGACATACTATGAGAGTGACTTATCATGTAGATGTTAACCTTGATCACCTGGATGAAGTAGTGTTTTTCATGTTTCTCCACCATAAGGTTACTTTCCCCCTCCTCTTTCTGTACTGTACTTTGTAGAAGAAAGTCACTACACACAGCCCACACTTAAGAAGTGGAAGGTCTGCTCCATGTCCTTGAAAGTAGAGTTTCCAAATAACTTATTTGGAATTCTGCACTGGAGATTTATCTATTCTCTCCCAATTACTTATTTACTCAGTCATTTATTTATATCATAATGGACTCATGGAAACTTACATTTTAGGTTACGACTCAATACAATTTTATTTATCTTGTGGCTCAAATTGTTCCAACTTTGGCCACTGGGTTCTCTTTCAGTTGGCTTTACTCTCCCTTAAAGAAAAACTTTGTTAAAAAAGAAATGATATAGTAGAATTGGATTACACTCAAACTTGATTTAATAACTGTATATAGAACTTTTACTTCTTTTAGATACAAAACAAGGTTTTAAATGTTCATGCACATGTTTAAAAATTGGACTTGGTCATGAAAAAAAACCTTAAAAATTTCTGACTATACTTTCTGATTATAATCCAATAAAATTGGAAGTAAATAATGAAAGGGTTTTTAAACAATCTTAATTACTTGCAAATTAAGAAACAGGTCTTTAGAAAACACTTGAATTCGAGAAGAAATTTAAAAGAAATCACCAGCAAAGTAAAATGACCCAGCACAGCAGAACTCTCCAAAATCTAGAGCTTTAAATGTCTTAATTTTTTTTTTTTTTGAGATACGCGAGCCTCTCACTGTTGTGGCCTCTCCCATTGCAGAGCACAGGCTCTGGACGCGCAGGCTCAGTGGCCATGGCTCACGGGCCCAGCCGCTCCGCGGCATGTGTGATCTTCCCGGACCAGGGCACAAACCCGTGTCCCCTGCATCGGCAGGCAGACTGTCAATCACTGTGCCACCAGGGAAGCCCTAAATGTCTTAATTTTTAAAGAAGAAAGATAAAACTATTAAAGAAACAAAATACTCATCATATAAAGTTAGAAAAAGTAACCAAATAAACTAAGTAACTAAGAAAAGGGAATTAATAGAGGTAAAGGTTGAAATAATGAAACAGAAAAGAGAAAGATAAATAAATCCAGAAATTTGTTTCTTTGGAAAAAAACAATAAAGCAGAAACATTTGCAAGCCTAATTAAGCTGAGAGAGAAAGAGAGAGAGAGAGCAAAAATAGACAAGATTTGGAATGAGCAAGGGACTATAACCATTTAAAAATTACAGAAGAATACTGCATGCAACGATGATATCCAGGTTTAAGGCCTAAAGGAAATAGATTATTCCTAGCAAAATAGATATCACTGGAGTTTACTCAGGAGTTGTAAAACTTGAATAAACTAATGATCTTAGAAAAAACTAGAAATTTATTCGAGTTCTATCATTGTTAAGGGCACCATTGTCAAGACGAGTTTGACCTTTACAGAATAGATTATTCCAATGTATTTTGATATTTCAGGGCATGGAAAATCCAGACCTCCCACATTACTTTATGAAACCAGGATAATCTTAACATCTAATTTTGATAATTCTCATAAAATATACTATCAACCAATTTTGCTTATGAATATAGAACCATTGCTGAACTCTTTTTGTTAACTTTGGGGTCATTTTAAAATCAAGACAATAATAACTCTGACTAAGTATGATTTATTCCAAGAATGCAAGGTCAATATGCTAATCTATCAATGTAACCCATTATAATAATACAATAAATGAGATAACCATATTATAACAATAGATACAGAAAAGATATTTGATAAAATTCAGTAGCTATTAAAATTGTGAATAAAATAGCAACAAAAGGAAACTACTTGAATCATGACTATAAATCAAGGTTCAATAATAAGAGCAGCAAAAATGAACTAAATAGCAAATAAACTGATTTCATATGATCTGACAATAGATAGGGGATACCTACTATGGCTAGTATTTAGTATTGAGTCTCTAAAACTGCAACAATATAAAGCATGAAACAAAACTGGCATAAACAATGGGGGGAAAAGAACAACAATGCTTTTGCTAAAGGCATCTATAAACATAGAAAATCAAAAGGTTGTGTTTTTGTGGGTTTTATTTGTTTGTTTGTTTTTGCGGTACGTGGGCCTCTCACTGTTGTGGCCTCTCCCCTTGCGGAGCACAGGCTCCGGACGCACAGGCTCAGCGGCCATGCCTCATGGGCCCAGCCGCTCCGCGGCATGCGGGATCTTCCCGGACTGAGGCACGAACCCGTATCCACTGCATCGGCAGGCGGACTCTCAACCACTGCACCACTAGCGAAGCCCTTTTTGTGGGTTTTTAAAGTTGCTTTTTTAGAAGGTATCAGAATTTGGCTAGATATAAATAGTACTATATAACAATGAATTACATTACTCTAGAAATCAGACATTGTTGTATGACATTGGTTATAAATGACAAATTACGCAGTGTTTAGAATAAATTTAAAAGAAAGGCACAGGACCTATTTGAAGATAATTATAAAATCTCACTGATAAAAGAAAGGTCTCCCCAAGAAACATGTTTCTTGAATAGGAAGACTTATGGTTAGCAGCAGTTCTCCCCAAATGATTATATAAACCTGATGAAATTCCAATTAGTAATACAAATACTTTTTAAAATCTAAATGAATAATCTTAGAATATATATTACAGAATAATGCCTAGGAATAATCTAGAAAATCATAAAGAATAACCATGTTGGAGAATTTGCTTTTTAAGGTTATGCCACAGTCACTGTATTTAAATCAATGTGATAGTTGCATGGGAATAGACAGATCAGGGATATAGAAAAGAGACTTCAAAATGAGTGTGCCAATGCTTGAGAATTTTACATATGACAAAAATGGGTACTTCTATGGGAAAATATGGGTTATTTAATAAATGCACTAGAACAATTAACCATCCAGCTAAATTGACTCTGATCTGACACCACATCCAAAGATAAGTCCTTCCTGAACTCTCCCAGGGTTCCAGTTATGATGAACTAAGGCTACACTGCATAACCTGCCTGCCCCTGACCCTCACTGCAGAAAACAATGATAAAACCTGGACACAATACAAAAAGTGATTATCTGAAAGTATGGGATAGTGAAGAGAAGCAGATATACTCTAGTGGGAGGTGCATGCTCACTTGGTGGAGCGGCACAAGAAGCTTAGCAAGTTCCTCTCTGTGAGTCCACATGGCAGTGCTCACAGCAGCTTTAGGGGAAACAGCAAATTGAAGCTGGAATACTGTGAATTCTGGAGAGAGTTGGAGGGGGAGAGTGAACCCACATAATGACTCTCAAACTATGCATGTGCAGAAGACTCAAAGCAGCTCAGCTAAAGATGAAAGATCAGAGCTGAGACTAGAGCTGCTGCTCAAAGACAGAGTTTGAAGTTTAAACCAGGTAAGAACGTTCTCTGCTAAAAACACTCATAAGAGAAAAATAACAGAATCCAGAATGTTCACAACTTAACATAATGTCCAGCATATAATCCCAATTATCTAACATATAAAGAACTAAGAAAATGGAATGTATTCTCAAGAGGAGACAAGTCAATCAGGTATGACCCCCCCAAGATTAATCAGCTGCTGCAATTGATAGACAAGGTTATTTAAATGACTATTACAACTATCCTCAATGAAGTAAAAGAAAACATATTTTCAATTAATGAAAATATTTCAGCATAGAAAAGGAAATCTCTGCAAAGGAAATAAAAACAGTAAAAAGGAAGCAAATAGAAATTCTAGAAATAAAAAATACAATTTTGGAAATTAAAAATTCACTGGATGGACTTAAAATCCAAATGGATATGAAAGAAGAAAATGTAAGTGAATATGATGATAGAATGATAAATATTATCCAAGGTGAAGAACAGAAAGAGGATTGAAAAAAGAAAAACCATTTCGATTTTTTGCTGTTCTAAAATATCTTTCATGTCCTTACTTATTGTGCTCAATCTTCCTCTAGCTTAAACATATGGAATGCAGTTATAATGACTATTTTAATATCCTTGCCTCCTAACTCTATCATCTGTGTCATTTCTGGGTCAGTTTGATTGACTTTTTTCCTCATTATGGCTTGCATTTTTTTCTACTTCTTTGCCTGCTTCTTAATTTTTGAATGTATTTTAGGCTTTGTGAAATTTCCCTTGTGTACGTTATTCTTTAATGTATACTTGCTTAAATATATTTGAGCTTCATTTTTGGATGCAGTTAAGTTGCTTGGAAACAATTTGATCCTTTTGGGTCTTACCTTAAGCTTGGTTAACAGGGAACAGAGCAATGTTCAGATTAGGGTAAAAATTTCTCCACTACTGAGGCAAACTCTCTTTAGTATTCTACCAGTTCCTATAATTATGAGGATTTTTCACTCCAGATCATGTGAACAGGCACTATGTTGGCCCTTTGTACTCCTCGAGGACTTTCTCTTCTAATCCTTCTGATAGTTTTCTTACACATGTGTGTTGAAGAGTATTGGGACTCTCATAGATCTCCGGAGTTCTCTTTCCTTGCAGCTTGCTCTCTCCTCTTCAACACTCTGCTCTGCTAATTCTAGCTGCCTTAGCCCCTCTGGATCCCAGCTCCTCTCTTCAACTTAGGGAGACTGCTATGCTCGACCTGGGTTGCCCTGCCCTGTGCTGCTGCCTGAGAACTCTCTCTAGGCCATAGCTAGAGCAATTGTAGGGCTCACCTCATCTGTTCTTCATCTTTCAGAGATCACTGTCCTTTTTTGATTGATGTTCAATGTCTTTAGAAACTTTCTTATTTTGTCCTATATGTTAGTTGTTTCAGGCAAGAAAGAAAATCTGTCAAGGAAAAGATTTTGTTAGTTGTTTCAGGCAAGAAAGCAAATCTGTTAAGGAACAGATTACAGTTACTCTATCTACTCTGGGCCTCCTCAGTATCCACATCTCTCAGTCTGGGCTGTGCATCTGGGATGCTCCAGGGTCTGAGAAGATGAAAACCAGTGGGGTTTTTGAAGAAATATAAAAAGCAAATTGAAAAATTTATATAGAAAGGCAATGGACATAGAATACTTAAAACAATTTTGAAAAAGAAAAATCAATTTGTAAGACTTACACTACCTGATTTCAAAATTTACTATAAATCTGTAGCAATCAAAATTGGTGTAAGGATAGTCATAGAGACCAGTGGAACAAAACAGAGTTCAGAAGTAGACCCACACTTAAATGGTCAATCAAGTGCCAAGAAAGTTTTCAACAAATGGTGCTAGAATAACTATATATTCATATACAAGAAATGAACTTACACCTTTACCTAACACTAGAAAAAGTTAATTGAAAATGGATCATAGGGCTTCCCTGGTGGCGCAGTGGTTGAGAGTCCGCTTGCCGATGCAGGGGACACGGGTTCGTGCCCCGGTCTGGGAAGATCCCACATGCTGCGGAGCGGCTGGGCCCGTGAGCCATGGCCACTGAGCCTGTGTGTCCAGAGCCTGTGCTCCACAATGGGAGAGGCCACAACAGTGAGAGGCCCACGTACCGCAAAAAAAAAAAAAAAAAAAAAAATGGATCATAGACCTAAATGTAAGAACTAAAATAATAAAACTTCTGGAAGAAAACATAGGAGAAAAATCTTTGTGACTTTGATTACATTAAGATTTCTTAAACAGGATACAGTCAGCATAAAATATAAATGCAAACAAATTATAAAATTGACTTCATTCAGATTAAAATCTTTGGGGTTTTAAGAAACACAGTTAAGAAATAAAAATGCAAGTCATAAATAGGGAGAATTTTTTTTTTTCTCAAAAACATACATCAGACAAGGACTTGTATTTAGAATATATAAAGAACTTTTAAGAAGTCAAACATCCCAATAAAAACTGGACAGAAGGTCTTTCTAAAACAAGGACCAAATTTGTGAATGGATATTTTACAAATGAAGATATATGAATGCCCAATAAGCATATGAAAATATTCTCAACGTCATTAGTCATCAGAGAAAACCCAATTAAAAACCATAATGGCATGCCTATTAGAATGGCTGAACTGAAAATTATTGATAATACCAAGTGTTGGTGAGGATATAGAACAACTGTAAGTCTCACACATTGCTGGCTGAAATGCAAAATTGTATAGTCACTTTGGAAAACAGTCTGGTAGTACATTTAACTGTAACCATACACTTACCATGAGACCCAGAAGTTCTACTCCTAGATATTTACCCAAGAGAAGGAAAAATTTATATTCACAAAACCATGTATACAGATGTATTGCAGGACAATGTATAATAGGCAAAAACCAGTGAGTGCATAAACAAATTGTGGCTTATCTATACTATGGAATTCTATACTGCAATGAGAAGTAACAAAAGATTAATGCACTCAACATCATGGATGAATCTCAAAAACATTATGCTAAGTGAAAGAAGTCAAACACAAAAGTCTATAGTGGATGATTCCATTTATGAAAAGTTCTAGAAAAAGGCAAAACTATAGTAACAGAGAGCAGATCAGTGGTTGCCTGGAGCTGGGGTTGGAGATATAAGGCTGCATAAGAAAAATTTTATAATGATGGAACTGTTCTATATCTTGATTGTGATTACTTTGTCATATACAATTATCATGATTCATCAAACTGCACACTTAAAATAAGTGTATTTTATTTTATATAAATAATACCTTAACTTTTAAAATCAAAAAAAGAAACAAAAGTTAAATAGGTTCCTCATGACTTAAATGCTCAAGTATTCAAAATGAAAAACAACAAAAAACACAATACTCCTGCAAAAAACTTCTGCAACTTAGGGGTCAAGGAGAACTTCTCAACTAAAACCAGAAACTTAGATATTATAAATCAAATTATAATAACCTTTGTATGGCTATTGAAGCAATTAAATGAATGGAAAAAATGGAGTGGGAAAAAATCATATAATACAAATGACAGATAAGGGGTAAGTTGTCCATATTATTCTAAGTACTTCTTCAAACTGACAAGAAAAATATAGTAGTTAAAATATCAGCTAAGGGAAAGTCATAGAGGAGCAAATTTAAATGGTCACAGATACATAAAAAGATGCTAAAATTCACTGGTAGCCAGGAAAATGCAAATTTAAAGAGCTATGAGTTTACATTCATTAGAAAGAGCTACACACCTAATACTTGTGGGGATTTAAAGAAAATGATGCTTTCCTATTCCCGGTGGAAATGTGCAGTGTTATAGCCCTTGGCAGAAATAACCTAGCAGTATTTATTAAAAATAAAAACACATGTATCATTTAACCTTACCAGGCTTCTCCCAAGAATGCCAATAGAAATAAAAGCAGATCTATTAATGGGCATGGGCACTAAAGTGTTATTGCAGCATTGTTTCTAACAGCACAACGCTGGATTAAAGTGCATGCCAGTCAAGAGGGGAATGGTTGAATACATTCTATAGCATTCATACTCCATTCTGTTGAGCAATTGGTGAAATGAGTGAATTAGAGCTATAGTAGGGGACTTTACCACTTATTGAGTAAGAAATGCAAGATACAGAAAAGGGTATATAATAGTCTGCTTTCTTTTTTTAAAAAAACAAAAACTAAAATCCCAGTTTACATACATTCCTGTGTACATGTATGTGCATATTTGTTATAGTATTGTGAGCATGAAGGAAAAATACGGAAGGATTCATACCAGATTTTTAAATCCTTCTCCCAATGTGACCCATGTTGTGTGTGTTGATATATGTGTAGGTAGGGGTGGAGCCAAGCAACAAACAAACAAACCAAACAACAAACCATGCATTTGGAAAGCATGTATATAATCAGGTGTGTATTGTATTGAATATGAGTCAGATAAGTTAGGTTACTCCTCAGTAGTAAACAATTTAACTATCAGTGCATCAATTTGAAAAACATTTATTTCTTGCTCACAAAAACTCTGAGGGTCTGGAAGACTCTCCAGAGCAATTTTCTCAACAGATTGGTTTAGACTTCCAGGCCATTTAGATCTTATGGACTCTTCCTATCAACCTGTTTTTTCATGATTGATGCGGTAAGGGAAAGAAGTGAATGGAGAATTGTGCAACAGCTTTTAAAGGTATTCTCCTGGATTTTATGCATGTCCTTTCCCTTTTCGTTTTTGTTTTCCATCCAAATCAAGGTACATAGACATACATAAGTTCACTTAATTAGGGAAATCTGTTTTTCCTATGCTTCTCTGGAAGAGGAAGAGTAATGGAAATATTGGTGAACAGTAATGTCTTCTATATATGAATTTATTTACATAAAAAACTAAGCTTTAGGGCTTCACTGGCGGCGCAGTGGTTGAGAATCTGCCTGCTAATGCAGGGGACACGGGTTCGAGCCCTGGTCTGGGAGGATCCCACATGCCGCGAAGCAACTAGACCCGTGAGCCACAACTACTGAGTCTGCGCATCTGGAGCCTGTGCTCCGCAACAAGAGAGGCTGCGATAGTGAGAGGCCCGTGCACCGCGATGAAGAGTGGCCCCCGCTTGCCACAACTAGAGAAAACCCTAGCACAGAAACGAAGACCCAACACTGCAAAAATAAATAAATAAATTAATAAACTCCTACCCCCAACATCTAAAATAAAAAACAAAAGTAAGCTTTAAAATAACTCTGAAATAAACATACTTTATGAACAAGCAATTTACAAAATATAAGAAATGGCCAATAAAAGTGAAACTATGTATACATTAGCAGATTGGCTAAGATTATAAATGTTGATAAGGTCCAGAGATGATGAAAGTGTGGAAAAAAGAGAAATCCTCGTATAACCCTGTGTGGGAATAACTCTGTACATCCCTGAAATACAAGCAGACTGAAGATATCAAAATGGAATTTTGAATTATCTTTTGGCCCAGTAATACGACTTACAAACATTCACTCTTGAAAATAATCAGATAGGTGCATATGTAAATAAATATTCACCTCAGCATTATTTATGATAATAAAAAGGAAAATAGTCTAAAAGTACATCTATTAAGGATGAGTTAATTAAAGTATGATAAATGCATATAATATGAGAACCCTTAAAAGAGATGAGGTCCATTTAATTTGTTTTAACAAAAAATATTCAAAGAATATGTTTTGGTTATCTGTTGCTATGTTACAAACAACCCCAGAACTTTGGAGTTTAAAATAACCATTTTAGTTTAAGAAGTCCTCTCTGGTTACAATACAGAGAATGCATTGAAAGGGGTCATGTCTGGTTGAGGGAGCCCATTTAGGTGGCTGCTGCAGTGAGCTAAGTGAGACAAGCAAAGATGTAGTAACATCTTGTATTTATAGTTTGGGACTTCAGTTTTTTCACTTAATGTCCCATAATTATATTTTCCCATTTCATTAAAATTTTCTTGCTAATCATTAAAAAAAGCAATGATTTCACTCTGCATCTGATTTTGTAGATCAGGAATCAAGAAGGGCTCAGCTGGATGGTTTGTTCTTGACCCCCCCAGATATATCAGCTGGGTCAGCTGGGATGGAAGGATCCACTTTCAAGATGACTTCTTCATTTGCCTGTCTGGTGCCTTGGTGAACTTTGGTTTCCTCACCTCTCAACATGGAATCTCATCTTCCAGGCCTTCTTGGGCTTCCTGAAGAGCATGATGGTCTCAGGAGAGTCCTAATTCTTACATGGTGGCCAGCTTCCAAGAAGTAGGAAATGGAAGTTGCCAGGCCATTTAAGGGCTAGGTACAGAATGAGCATAACATTATGACAGCCATATTCTATTGACTGAAGCTGTCCAAAGGCCTTCTCAGATTCCAGGGGGTGGAGAAATAACCTTTTCTCATCAAAGAATGGATTGAAGGGAGCAAGGACACTTGCAGAAGTGCATGCAGGATGGGGATATTGATGTGGTCCTCTTTGGAAAATGCAGTCTGCTACAATATTATATGATTCAATTTTCATAAATATTGATATTTCTTTATATTTAAAGATCTAGAAAAAGTATGAAGATAAAACAATGTTTCTGTGGATCATAGCAATTTTGAGTAGACACTGTTTTTTACTTTAGATTCTTCAGTGTTTGATTTTTTTTTTACAGTAAATGAATTACTTTTATAATCAGCAAATTTAAAAAAGACAATTTTGATGTTAAAAAGAAATAGGTTGTTTAAAGTTGTTTGCTCAAGGAATTTTCAGTGCTCAAAGCATGCATTTAAATGGATGACATTTTTTTCTCTCTGTGGAAAATTTCGGGAGGAACCTCTACATTTAAGTTTCCATATTTGCAGATGGAGTAGGAGTGATAACTTCTTGGCAAAATTGAATTTAAAATGGATTTAAATAATAGAAGCCATTATTCAGGATGAGCTTAATGCAATCCCTACCCAGATGATTTAGGCAATGAGATGGAGCACATAAAAGCCTTACAGCTGCCTCATGCAAATTAATATATTAAAAACTTAAAGAAAAAATTTAAAGTGAAGCAGCCCAAAAACTTCAAGGAAGAAGGGCTGAGGGGTTAAGTGGCCTTTTCAGCAGTCAGGAAAATGATGTCATCCTTTAATGGGCGTCTGTCTGGTTCCTCCTCTCTATTTTCAGGATCATCATTCCTGTGGCTGTGAGTTATCAGAATAACAACAAATGTGCATATTCAAAGATTTTTTCATTGCCTTCACCCATCTTTTCAAACATACCCAGAAGTCATAATGCAGGAATTACACTGACACAATCATCACCATGGAAACAGAGCTGGTGTCATAAACATGGCATTATGACTTCTCAGCAGGATGCAGGTGGGATTTTGGCACTGAATCTGTAAGATTTATTTAAAAACACAAATGTCTAAGAAAATAACACCAAGGAAAAAAAGAAAAAAAAAGAAGAAAGAAAGGGCATAGAGTTGCCCCTATAATATACATGCCTTGCTTTTTGTTTTCGATGTTTTCCATGGATTTGTTCGCCTATAGCAGGGCTTGATTTTGCCTATTCTTTTTCTTTTTTGTTGTGTTTGGCATGTTCTCAACTTATTCACTGGTTGTTCATCTTGGTAGGGGCTGCATTTTTAGATGAAGAAGTTGAGATTCCAAGAAGGGGTCTGACTTGCTCAAGTCACCTAGCAAGTTAGTAGCCCCACTGAAGCCAGAGCCCTTCTCTTGTCTTCCAATCCACACATTACAGTTTCCCTTTCAGTATCTCAGTTGTACTTTGAGAACATAATTTATGCATCAGTTAGGACATTGCTTTGGCTGGTCTAATGAGATTCCCCTCCCCCCAAAAAATAGTGTTTTATGTAAGATAGAAGTTTCTATCTCTCTCAAAGCAGTCCATGGTGTCAGGGACCCAGGCTGTTTCTATATTATTTTTCTTCTGTGTCTACTGTGTTGCCCTCATCTTCTAGGATGTCACACACCGTATCTGTACTCCAGACAGAGTAAGGGGAGGGCATCCCCCACCTTTTAAGAGTGTGATCTGAAATCTGCACGTATCACTTCTATTTACATCCCATTGGCTAGAACTTAGTCTTATGGCCATTCTAGTTCAAGGAAAGCTGGATAGCCACGTCATCAGCTACAGGTGGTTGAACTATTATTATGGGAGAAGGGAAGAACAGATATTGGCAATGACCACGGGTCTCTGCCATAACTTGCATCCCCTTCAAGAGAATGCCGCTTTCAGGGGGCTCTCATCTAAAATTTTTCAGCTAATGCAATGGCTGGAGTCGGATAACAGTATCTATTTCCCCAAGGGTATTTAAAATTGTAATTACTATATTAGTTATAGAGATCACTGAATTGACAGAAAGACTGAACATCAGACTGAGATCAAAACAAATTAATTGACCATTAGAGTATGTATCAAGATTGTAACAGAGACTCTCCAATTCAGTGGCTGTAAGAACAAATAAATTTATTTCTTTTTTCAACTTACAGTTCAAGATGTGTGGTCCAATGTTGATGAAGCCTTGCTCTGTGCAGATAGATATTCAAGGATCCAGGTTTATGATAAAGCTTCTGTTTTAAACATATGGCCTCTAAGGTCCCTCTGCTTGCTGCCATTCCAGTCATCAGAAGGGAAGAATAAGAGTTCAGGGCTGGGGATTTTTTTCTTAATATGTGAGGCAGAAATTGTTCTGCTCATTCTATTTATGAGAGCTTAGTCACTTGGCACCATGGGGGCTGGGAAATATGGTTCCTAGCTGGGTTGCTACTTCCCATATTTAAATTTATTACTGTGGAAGATGGTCACATGGATATTAGTGGGCAGCTAGTGGTTTCCTCTGCAGGGTAGCACAGCTTAAATGACTGAGTGCCAACAATTTCTTTCTTTCATCCAAGTATCTTTCCAGTAAAAGATGACAGGGAGAGAAAAGGAGAGAAAGAGAGAGGGGAGAGGTTTTTGGTTAGTTAGGCTTAGGCCATGTATGCCCCCATTGGTAGCTGTAGAGGAGGAAGGAGGAAGAATCATGGAATCTCTTTATGTACCTGGATTTACATTCCCATTGTGGAGTATTGGTCAGGGGTCTCCTTCAAGGTCCTTGACTCTAGAAATATTCCTTCTTATTCCTGTTGTGTAGCAGGCCCCTTATTTCCTCTTGACAATTGGGATCAATCGCCCCAACCAACACAACTGTTTTTTGGTAGTGTATCCAGTGACATGAAGAATTCAAACTAATTATGTGGAAATTTCAACTTTTATTTCAATGTAAACATTGTTGCAACCCCCAGGGTAGAAGCCTTTTTCTCTTAAATTCTAAAACCTCTAAATTAAAAAAGTCCAAATGTATAGAGATGGGAAGAAAATAGTATAAGTCTGCACTCTGATCAGTGGATCCTGAGTCTGCAGGAATTAGTATTAGCTTACAGCTGGAGTCCAGTAATTTCTGAACGGTCTTAGTATTTTCATTTCCTTAATGATCAGTTACACTGGCCTCTAGTCCCACTGGCCATGGTAAGGAGATTTCCAGTACACATTTGTATTATTTCAATATTCATACTCAATGTTTCCTGATTTCCCCTTTATTCCAGAGGCTCTGGATCTATGAATTGATTCAGGCCTAGGAACTCAGTAATGGGCTGTGATTCTTTTCATGGTGACTCAAGTAAGTCTTTTTTGCAAGACTCATAGCATGATCAATCATACAGAGCAAGTACAGCCTTAGAGTTGCTCATCTGTTTTGGTCCTAGAGGCGCCAATGATCAACTGACTTCTATCTAACATTATTTCACATATTTCTAATCACTACCTGAACTCTGCTTCCTATTACAGAAACAATGCTCAGTTTGCAGCAGTTGTTTAAGTGCTTCTGTCACTCCTGGATAGTATCATGCTAATTGAAAAAGGAAGATCTCATTTGAAGAGTGGCTTTTCCCATCTCCTCCCTGCAAAGCATGGCTTCTATATCCTTTTAAAAAATCAATACATTCTTGGGCTTCCCTCGTGGCGCAGTGGTTGAGATTCTGCCTGCTAATGCAGGGGACACGGTTTCGAGCCCTCGTCTGGGAGGATCCCACATGCCACGGAGCAACTAGGCCCGTGAGCCACAACTACTGAGCCTGCGCGTCTGGAGCCTGTGCTCCGCAACAAGAGAGGCCACGATAGTGAGAGGCCCGCGCACCGCGATGAAGTGTGGCCCCCGCTTGCCACACTAGAGAAAGCCCTCACAAAGAAACGAAGACTCAACACAGCAAAAATAAATAAATTAATTAATAAACTCCTACTCCCAACATCTTATTAAAAAAAAATTCAATACATTCTTATGCCAGAAATGCAAACATTTGAAAATAAAAAATGTATGATTTATTAACAAACTAAGTAAGAAAAAACACAATCATTTTGATGAATGTATAAAAAATCATTTAACAGAATCATCTAGTTATGATTTTAAAAACCTCTCAGCAAAATTATAATAAAGGAAATTTCTCAATCTGAAAAAGGGCAGCTGCAAACCGCCCCTCATATAATTAATATCATACTTAATAGTGAAAGACTGAATACTTTCTTCCCCAAATAAGGAATTAAACAGGATGTTTTCTCTCATCACTTCTATTCATTTTGTTGGAGGTCTTAGCCAGCACAAGAAGACAAGAAAAAGAAATAAAAAGCATCCAAATTGAAAAAGAAGAGGTAAACTGTTGTTATTGGCAAATGGCATGATCATCTATGCAGGCAATCCTAAGAAATCTACCAAAAAACTATTAGAACAAATAAATGAGTTTAGCAAAGTTGCAGGGTACAAGATCAATATGGCAAAATCAATATATTTCCATATATTTATAATAAAAAATTAAATTTAAAAAATGATACCATTTACAATATCAAAATATACGTAAAAACTTAAGGACAAAATTGACAAATGATGTGCAAAACCTGTGTACTGAAAACTACAAAATATAGCTGACAAAATTAAATAGAATGATATACCAGGCTCATGCACTGGAAGACTCAATATTATTAGGACATCAATTCTTCCCAAATTGATCTACAGATTCAATGCAATCACAATCAAAACCCACAGGCTTTATTTGTGGAAATAGACAAACTGACTTAATAGATTAGTGGTGATGGTTGTATAATATTATAACGTACTTGATGTCACTGAACTGTACACTTAAAAATGGTTAAACGGCAAATTTTGTGTTACATATTTCTTACTAGAAAAAAATATTTTCGAGTTAAAGAAAAGCTTATCTCAAAATGCAAAGTGCCTAAAATAACCAAAATTATTTGAAAAAAAGAACAAAGGGAGAGGACTTTCATTACCTGATTTCCAGACTTATTATAAAGCTTTAGGAATCAAAATAGCATGGTATTGACCTAAAGACAGATATAAAGAAGAGTGGAACAGAACAGAGTCCAGATAGACCCACATATGTATGGCTACTTAATTTCTCACAAAAGGTGCTGGAAGAATTGCATATTCTCATGGGGCAGGGGAGATCTTTGAACTTTACCTCATACCAGATCAAATACATAAAAATGGATCATAACACAAAATGGATTACAGACCAAAATATAAAATCTACAATTAAATTTTGGAAGAAAACCTAAAATGAGATCTTAATTACCTTGGGAAATTTTCTTAACTATGACACAAAAAACACTAAAATCATATATTGAACTTTATCACACTTAAAACCATTCACTCTTCAAAAGATACCCTTAAGAAAACTCAAAGGTAAGCCACAGATTGAATGAAAAAATTTGCAATGAAAAATACGAAAAAAGGACACTTATCCAGAAAATATAAAGAATTCTCACAACTCAATAATAATAATTAAAAAAAAACAATGTTTGAAAATGGGCAAAAGTGGTTTTTCCACTTCTGGGAAGATGGAATAGATGTACTTATCTCTATTCTCCTTTCAAGGTATAATTAATCCCTGAACATTATATATAAAACAAACACAAGAAACCTCAGAAACATGAAGTAAAGAAGGCAGACTGGCTAGAGACCACTGGACCTAATGAATAACATGATGATGAGTTCTCTGAGTTTTCCTTTGGCCTCATATATCCCAGACTTGGAGATGAAGAAGCTGGTGACCTGGAAATAAAAATAGGTGTAGGGGCTTCCCTGGTGGCGCAGTGGTTGAGAGTCCGCCTGCCGATGCAGGGGACGCGGGTTCGTGCCCCGGTCTGGGAGGATCCCACATGCCGCGGAGCGGCTGGGCCCGTGAGCCGTGGCCGCCGGGCCTGCGCGTCCGGAGCCTGTGCTCCGCAACGGGAGAGGCCACAGCAGTGAGAGGCCCGCGTACCGCAAAAAAAAAAAAGGGACCACAGAAGATAATCTAAAGCCAGTTGAAAGGTAAAAACAAAAGGAAACAAATCAGCCACACCTCAGAACATTCAGAGCTCTAGGAAAACATCAATTAAAAGTATTAGTTACGGGCCTCCCTGGTGGCGCAGTGGTTGAGAGTCCGCCTGCTAATGCGGGGGACACGGGTTCGTGCCACGGTCTGGGAGGATTCCGCGTGCCGCGGGGCGGCTGGGCCCGTGAGCCATGGCCGCTGAGCCTGCGCGTCCGGAGCCTGTGCTCCACAACGGGAGAAGCCCGCGTACCAAAAAATAAAAAAAATAAAAAAAAAAAAAAAAAAATAGGTGTAGACCAAAAAATTTCCCAACAAAGGTCACAGACAAGAGCAGCCAAGCAAGATAGAAGGAATTTAGGCAGTAACTGATCTACTCCAGCCAAAAAATATGGAAAAAATTATGGCTCTTATCCCCACCCATGCCTTCAAAGTCCTAGTGGGGAACCTAGACTTCCACCATCATGAGGGTGTAAAGAGGTATCCCAACACTACCTCCAAAGACGTGGTGTCAGGGAAGGCCAAGTAGGGATATGGGACTTCATACCTGCTAGCAGGTAATAAGATCTAATTCCTGTGGTACCAGTGGACACCATGTGGGAAACATGGACTTGCATGCCACCCAGCAGTTATGAGGCTCCCCTTTTCTTCCCATTGGGAGGTGTCAAAGCAGGAATAGTGGAGAGTCAGGACTTTCACTATATCCCAGTGGTAATGAAGCTACCCCTACTACAGTGTCAATAGAGACCACATAGGGAGCTGGAACTCCCACCCCACTCAGCAGTAATGAGGAGTCCTCAATGCATAGATGTCAGTGGAGGCTGAGAAGGGAACCTAGACTTCTTTTCCCATCTGGTTATAAAAAGGCACTGTCCCTACTCCTCCTGCCAGAGCAGTGTCAGAAAAATCCAACTAAAAATTTTTAAAAATAATATCCTGTGTTTCATAATTTTCAGTAAAAAATTACTCATCATACCGAGAAGAACCAGAAAGAGCTCAAACTGAATGAAAATACAATCAACACAATTCAACACCAAAAAGACAGAAATTTTAGAATTACCTGAGAAATATTTTAAAGCAGCCAGATAAAAATGCTTCAAAGAGCAATTATGAATTCATTATGAATTATTTAATAGAGAAAAATAGAAAGTATCAGCAAAGAAATAGGAAATATTAAAAAATAGCTAAATGAAAATTTTAGAACTGGAAAATGTG